ATGCAAGCTGACCCCGCGGCGGCGCCGTCGTCTGCGCTCTAAGCCTAAGCCTCGGTAAGGGGAAGGGACATAGAGGTGCAGCCGCGTGTCCCGGCTCAACTATTTTAACACCGAGGTTACTCCTGAAGTTTGAAATTTTTATTGTGAACTTCCATTCGCTGATTGCCTGACTATTTTTACTTCAGCTAATCGATCAAGGGATCATACTTCATCCTGGCTCATACTGCCGTGATTTTTGGAACATCCTTGACGGCGTTGTTGTCACATGTGCTCTTGTTGCATTTGGTTTCGCGTGAGTAGAACTATTAAGTATTTTCCTTTTTTTACTACTTGCTTTTACTCAAGATCAGTAGCAGCTTTCTGAGGCCTACAGAGATGGTAGCCCGCGTTGCACAAGTTTGCCTAGCATCGCGATTTTCATGCAAAGCATTCCAATGCAACCGTTCCCAGAAAGCACTATACCCTCTGAGCGACCTATTCGCTAGAATAGCACGAACCATACAGTCCGCGCGCGTTTTCGTTCTGTGAGCGCAGTAGAGCGGACTACGCCATGCCGCCGTGTGACCCCCAGCAATTCGTTTATTGTGAGCACTCAGTGCATTTTCATTACTAGGATATATACATTTGCATATACCAATGCCATACAATGCTATGTCGGATATTTCTTCATTTAGTGGTACCGAAGGATCAGCTGGTAAAAACTTGAATACCATCAAATCGCTGAGAGTACTTCGTGTGTTGAGGCCACTGAAGACCATCAAAAGGATACCAAAGCTGAAGGTGAGAAGCAATGTTCTATGAGTGCATACTTGGAGTCATGATCAGCAAACGATGGGGCGTGTGAAGGGGCGAGAACTGTTGTGCAGCTAGGACAGCCATCCCTGCTAGTTGTTGCGGGCCCCGCAATGGCATCATTGGTGGAGAGGGCTGCCCTGGCTGCGCTCCTATCCACGCCCCGTCACACGCCTCCAGGGGTCATGAATGTGCACTCATTCATCAAAGAAGGTTCATTTTCTTTCAGGCTGTGTTCGACTGCGTCGTGAATTCACTTAAAAACGTGTTCAACATTTTAATTGTATACTTTCTATTTCAATTTATCTTTGGAGTAATTGCTGTACAGGTAATTCCAATTCTACTTATAATTAATCGGTCTGTCAAAGGCTTTGTCACCCGGGGATATGATTTGACACTTTGAAAGCACATTCTACGACCCCCAGGATGATAATTTTTTTCCCTGTAAAAGGAGTGTAGGATCGGAGCCGTAAGGGTGGTTTGACTTCTTCACTACTCGAAAGTGAGTGGCAAACGCACTGAGGACTAGATGGGGAAAATCTGATCATGCCAGGCAAAAGTACCCATGAACGCACGAATTCTGCGCAGGATTGCGATCGATTTTCTTGTCATGGTTGTGCAAGCGTGCAACTCCTGCGCTTGTCTGGCCGCTTACTCGCGCTGCGTTGAGCGTTGCTGCGTTTTTATTCAGCGCAAGGTCGTCCAACGCTGAATTGAACGAGCGCTCGTTCCAAGTATTTTTTAATTTTTCTGCTATTTTTTTGCGGTAAGTGAAAGAGCACCTGCACTACTCGCAACTTGCAATCGTACGTAAAAAGTTTTTCGTCGCAGGAAGGGACGGGAAGGAAATAGCAAGCAATACATCAAATGCGCACTCACAACCCTGACAGCTCTACCAGAATAGTGCGTTTTTTCCGCCGCGCACAGCACGCGACAATATTGCGCCGCAACTACGAAGAGCCTCAGAACACCGTGACCACTTTGCAGTCGGAACATTTTAGATTGGCTTGTAAATATCATAGTTTTTGAAGCGATTCTTATGGACAGGGGCTGTGTTGGATGCCCTACCGGTATACCGTAATACAACACATTACTATCTAAAATCTTGGAACTCTTCTCTGACGTTTTAATTCTGTTTTGAGAAATTGTATTTACTCATTTTATTCGAAAGAAATGTTTCAGCTTTTCAATGGGAAGTTCTTTTATTGTACCGACAAAACGAAACGCTTTGCACATCAATGTCATGGACAGTTTTTCATTTTCGATAATCAGGTGGGACATAACTTTTTAAGATGCCTTTTGGGAACATTTCCCAACTTTCTTCGGACTATAATACTGTTTTTTTTATTCTAAACAAGCAAATTATGTTATCGCTGTTTGTTCCAGAATGAACCGCCTCGTGTTGAACAGAGAGAATGGAGACTTCGGCCGTTCAACTACGATAATACCATCAATGCGATGCTCACACTGTTTGTGGTGACTACGGGTGAGGGATGGCCGGGTATTCGCCAGAACTCAATGGATACCACATTTGAAGATCAGGGACCAAGTCCTTTCTATCGGGTCGAGGTAATGTTGTTTGTCACTTCTTGAGTGCGTTCATAATGCGCGATTTGGTCGCTCTGATCATGAGTATGATTTGGTCGCACAGTGAGAGCGAGCGGCGCCAGAGATTTTTGGCGTCAGTCAATTTTGTGTGAGTCACGCGGTCGGCGCCGACTGATCGCTCACACTGATCGCGCGACCAGAGCGACCAAATCGCGCTTTTATCGATTACGTCCACCCGAAAAGCGTGGCGCTCGCATTATCACCTCTCGAATGGTCAAATATTCAAAAATAAAACCTAGAAAAAAATTTCAGTGCTGTTGTAGCTGATGGTGGCCACATTGCGACGCGAAGAAGAGATTCTCTTCTTTAAAATCTAGTCTTTGTAGAGCGCATACAGTCACAACTTTAGAGCTGCCACGTCTTGGAGAGCGCGGACTTCTTCACGCTCCGTGCAGCCTTCACTGACTATAGTAAAACGGAAATTCCAGAACCTCAAATTCCCGGCTCGCGATTGACGAAATAATTCCCGTTTTTCATGAGCAAAACACTAGGCCTGTTGGTAGCGTCCCTTCTTTCTCAGTGTTTTCTACAGTCCTCATCATTGCGGACCGGTGGGGCGTGCGTGCCAGCCAGAAGGAGTGCGCACACTGTTGAAGCCGTTCTCAGCCTTTTTTGTTGCAACGCGTATGCGACAAAAAGTGGTAGAAAACGAGTAATACGAAGGATATAATACAGTAATGCACTTGCCCGCTTCAAAAACTGGTGCAGAACGATTTTGCCAAACCGCACCAAAGCAGCCGCACTGCCACGCCCCACCGGTCCGCAATGATGAGGACTGTATGCAGGCGGGAGCGGCCATTGTGTATTGCGAACACGGCCGGGAATGTGCGCCGCGTTGCTGAAGTTCGTCAATCACATACGATAATCACACTATTGAGAAGTGCAACTCCGCCCATACGATCAGCGCAGAATGGGCCTTTGAATCGAGCTATCTATCGGCCTTTAGAATTCCTCCATTGAGAAACCATAGGATGTGCAAGCGTTTTGCAGTAAAAAAAATAAACCGAACAAGTTCAGATGAATATCTGTTCATCAATTTCTGCGCAACCACTCCTAATTGTAATATTTGCAGGTAGCACTATTTTATGTGATGTTCTTTATTGTATTTCCGTTCTTCTTCGTCAATATTTTCGTCGCCTTGATTATCATCACATTCCAAGAACAGGTGAGTATTTTTATATTGTCTCACTTTCTGACGATATCTCGGTTATCACGTATCGACTGACTTTTCAATTTCAGGGTGAAGCTGAGCTATCAGAAGGTGATCTGGACAAGAATCAGGTGATCTTCACTTTCTTCAAACATCAAATGATACCTGATTAACTTATTTCTCAATGGCAGTTTCATCAGACGAGTCTCTTTGGAGTACAAGAAGCTGAGATTAAAGAACAGAACAGGGTGTTGAGGGCGGTCGTTGCGAAACGCCGTTGCTCCCCCTGTCGTCGCAAAGCGCAGATCATCCACACATGCGAAACCGCTGTTGCGCTCAAACTGCATACGTTGACGCACCCTCTCCATTTCTGGGAATTGGTGTCTACAGGCAACGGCGCTTTATTATTAGGGAATAATCACAATCCACGTCCTGTCAAAAGTTTATAACGGTAATAGTTACACCCAGAGTGATAAGGGCATCGACCCTCAAAGTTGCCCCGAGGGGCTTTTGATAATTAAGCGTTGTTTTTGACAATTTAACCGCACAATTCACCATAATTAGGTTTTTATTAAAGGCGAAAGGTGTTTTGGTGTGCCGTGGGCCAGGTCCCTTGCCTTAAGTTTGTGTGATCTTGGTGATCCAGGGGTCAAACTGACCCGGAAAGAAATTTCGTGGAAAAATTAGTTTGCCCACGTAGCTGAGGGAGGGGGCACTCGGAAGCGCTCTTCTGTCTCTAGCCCTTTTCGAAGCTCGGGTTTGGTGGAGACTATTGCTTGCCAGACTATTCCTGGTCATCTGTGTTCTCGGCTTAGGCCTTGGTTATGGGAAAAGACACAGTGGCGTGGTCGTGTAGCTTCGCTCCAAAATCAGCACCAATATCAAACTAATCCTCCTTGAAACGAGTTTTAATGAAATAGTAGTGGGTCGATTTTTAGCTAACTTTCACACATTCGAAATTCTTTTTCAGAAGCAATGTATCGATTTTGCGTTAAACGCTCGACCACGCTCTCTGTTTATGCCGGAGGATAAGAATTCGATAAAATATCGAATTTGGCGACTTGTCACATCAGCACCCTTTGAATACTTCATAATGGCGATGATTTGTTGTAACACAATCATTCTCATGATGAAATTTCACGGGAATTCAGATTTCTACGAAAAAGTCCTGAGGTATGGCTGAACATTTTTTTGTATTTCTTGAATCTTCAATTTTAAAACCTCTAGTTTCAGATTATTCAATACTGCACTCACAGCTGTGTTTACTGTAGAGAGTATACTGAAGATTCTAGCCTTTGGAGTTCGGGTAGGTTGATAACAATGATTCACTGAACTTTAACAGTATGATACTTTGCGCGATCAATAATATTTCAATATTTCTAGAATTATTTCCGAGATGGCTGGAACAGATTCGATTTTGTGACAGTTGTTGGTTCAATCACTGATGCGTTGGTTACCGAGTTTGGAGGTACTTCAAGAAATTCTTTAGATTACTTTCACTTGTTCACTGTTCCTCTCATTTACATCCAGTACAGTCATGGATCTCTGCAAAAATAGAAGGGGCGTGGCTTTGAGCGGAACCAGAACGGATTTCCCACCAGTTTTAGCGGGCTCAGGGTGGCATCAGTGGTGAAGGCCGCTCTGGCAGCGCTCCATTCCGCTTCCCGTACTTCACACGAGTGTTTGATAGCTCTCATTTACAGGGATAATAACTCTAGGACTGTTTCATGCCAAAATTCGATCTTCTTTGCTTGAATGGTAATCTATTCCCAATTGCTAGTTATCAAACACTTTTATCTTTCCTCACTCTACCCTCGTGTGAATTAGTCGCCATCACTTCGGTTAGAGTATCTGTAACTGGAGTGCGATCCGGGTCTTGGCGCAGCTTTTTCAATAGCTGTACAACTTCTAACTACATATTTTACCCAATCACCATTTCGGAACTTGAAAAGCATGGTTCCGCGCGGAAAGTGGGAGGGAGAGGGGGACGATTTCTGTGTACATCAGGATTACATTGTCTCCTGTAGCTGCTCATCAGATTAGACTGCGGCTCAGACTTCGCTATGACGCGCGTGGAAGCGCGTTCGTGGCCACGACGTCGCGAAGTCTGAACACAGCCTTACGTCGATCGTTTGCAGGACACTTCGTTTCTCTCGGTTTCCTTCGTCTGTTTCGTGCAGCACGTCTCATTCGACTTCTTCAACAAGGATACACCATCCGAATTCTCTTGTGGACATTCGTTCAAAGTTTTAAGGTCTGTTTTTTTTGGGCAGTAAAGGTAACTATGAATTTGTGGTGACTTCTTACAAACTGATGCTCCTTCCAGGCTCTCCCATATGTTTGCCTCTTAATCGGCATGTTGTTCTTCATTTACGCTATCGTTGGTATGCAGGTAAGGTTTCGCCATCATTCTTCCACTGTTATTGGCATGAAACTGCTGCGAAATATTAACTGAAAT